GCCACAGAAACAACGGCAGCCCCCATCCTTTCAAAGCTAACATGTGCACGCTAAGCTCGCACCCTCGGCCCCAACTAACACCACACGCGCAGTTCGAGCGCGCTGAGGTTCCAGCAGCCCCCATCCTCTCAAAGCTAACATGTGCACGCGTGCACGTAACCACCAATGGCAGGAGCATGAACTGGAGAGGTAACAATGGCGCAGACCGAACAGGGCCGTAGTACACACGAGGGCGCACACAGACGTATCGAATGCAACGCCATGCAGACCAATGCGAGTAGTAAAACAAACGCCAAACGTTGCATTATTGTTGAATTGAAATGCAATGCACATGCTACTCAATGCAGGCAGCTCAACGGAACGGATCGGAAGGAAGAAGGGGTGCATATGAAAGTGTCCGAAATCGCATGGGGCTCGTTTCGGTGCCTGCTCGGGGGCTCTTGGGGGCCTCCCGGGGGGCTCTTGGGGGCCTTTGGGAGCCTCTAGTGGTTTCTGGGGATGCTCTTGGGGCCGAGGGCCCGTAAAGTGCGCTCGGATCCCGCGTCTGGGCCCCTTCTTGGAGCCGTGTTGGGACTCTCTTGGGCCGTCTTCGAGGCCTCTTAAGCGGTCCCGGGGCGCTCTTGGGCCGTCTTGGGGCCGTCTTGGTGGCCTCTTGGGCCGTCTTGGGGCGATCTTGGGTGCCTCTTGGCCGTCTTGGAGCGCCAGGGAGCCCAAAAGGAGAGAAAGCCAAAAACATCGAAAAACACAATGGAAAATCAACGATTCGAGCCTCTTGGGGCCCTCTTGGAGAGCCTCTTGGAGGCCTCTTGGGGCGTCTTGGAGGCCCCTTGGGCCGTCTTGGGACCATCTTGGGCGTCTTGGAGCGATCTGGGACCGCCTCGGGGCCCTCTTGGACCATCCTGGGGGCCTCCTGGGGCCGTCTTGGAGGCCTCTTGGGTCGTCTGGAGGCTCCTTGGAGGCTCCTTGGAGGCCCCGGGGAGGGGGTATTAAAAAGCGTTCCCCGATGGTTGCGGAGTGGGCGGCCCCGCCGGGGGGGGGGGGGGGGCTATTTGTTTATATTATATATATAACATACGTAAGACATGTAGGAATGTGTACACAGGAGAAGGACAATATATAGAAACATACGTACGTCGTCGAAGGCGCCTCGGAAGGCACCTCGGAAAGCGCAGAATACTCCTCCAAGGCGCGGAATCATGTTCCCGGACCGCCTTCCGGGAACATGATGGGGACGACCTCCTGAGGGCCTCCAGTGGGCCTCTTGGGGGCCTCTCGGAGGCCTGTTGGGCTCTCCTGGAGGCGTCTTGGGGCGTATATATATATATATTATGTATATATATATGTGTATGTATGTATGTATGTATGTATGTATGTATATGTATATATATAGGGAAGAAATTGAAATACGTGGAAGGAAGTGGCACGACTCGGGAGGGCTTGGGGGAGGGTATATATGTATATATATACATACATATATACATTTACACATACATATAGAGAGATAGGACATACGTAAGACATGTAGGATTGTGTACACAGGAGAAGGACAATCTATAGAAACATACGTACGTCGTCCAAGGCGCCTCGGAAGGCGCCTCGGAAAGCGCAGAATACTCCTCCAAGGCGCGGAATCATGTTCCCGGACCGCCTTCCGGGAACATGATGGGGACGACCTCCTGAGGGCCTCCAGTGGGCCTCTTGGGGGCCTCTCGGAGGCCTGTTGGGCTCTCCTGGAGGCGTCTTGGGGCGCGCTCAGGGCCATTTTGGGGCATCTTGGGGGCCTCTGGGGGCCTCCGGGGAGGCTCTTGGGGGCCTCTTTGGGGCCTCTTGGGGCCATGCGGGGCCATCTTGGGGACCGCTGGGCTCGCTTAGGCAGTCTTGAAGCCCTGTCGGGGCTCTCCTGGAACCGTATTGGACGGCTCCTGGGCCATCTTGGGGCTCTCCTGGGCCGTCTTGGGACGATTTTGGGGGTCTCTTGGGCCGTCTTGGGGCGGTCTTGGGGGCCTCTTCGGCCGTCTTGGAGCGGTTTTGGGAGACCCTTTGACGGTCTTGGAGCGTCGGAGCCCCGAAAAAGCGAGAAGGCCAAAAACCTCGAAAAAAAACAAAAAGAACAACGATTTTGGCTTGTCGGGGCTCTCTTGGGAGGCCTCTTGGGATGCCTTCGGGGCCTCATGGAGCTCACTTGGAACGTCTTCGGGCCTTCCTGGCCATTCCTGAGGCTATCTATGCGCGTCTTGGAGCGCTCGCGGGCCGTCTTGGGCGGTCTCGAACTGTCCCTGGCGGTCCCAGGGGCCCTCCGGGACGCTTCGGACGCTCCGGGGGCGCCCTGCACCCCCCATGGAGATTACAGGCACCGCCCCGGGGCCCTACTCCGATATGTATATATATATATATATATATATATATATATTCGGGGCTTCTGTTTTCCCCCCACTTCCCCTATTTTCCCATATTTTCTTGGGGATCGACGATTAATCGTGTCTGTGTGTTCTTTGCCCTCCTGAAAGGGATGGGGTCCTAATAGGGGAGCGAAGAATGACATTCGGGCCGGGCGAAAGGGGGGGATAGCAAAGGGGCGGGCTTGAGAATCAGCTCTCGTAGCTGATTCTCCCGGCGCCTCCTGGCGCCCATGTATTGAGGAATGGGCCCGGCGGCGGGGCCGAAACCAGCTGCATGCAGCAGATTTCGTAACCTCCCCTTTCCCTACCCCCCCTTTTATCCGGCCCGAGACATAAACATGGAAACACGGGGGTCCGCGCGGATTTCTCGGATCCGCGCGGACCTCCGAGCCTCCGTGTGAATGTCATCCTTCGCTCCCCCATCTGAGGACGAGGTGCCTCAAACAACGAAAAACCCACCCTTGGACCCCTTCCTGTCCTCAGGACACCAGCCCTCAGGACCCCAGCTTTGAAGAAGCACCGACACAAGGCCCCTCTCCCAGTGTGCGAGCGCACGCGGCGCGCGATGAAGTACCTTTTCGCACCCCTGCGGGTGCTCCGGCGACTGCTCCTGGGACCCCGAGGCCGCTAGACTTCGCGCGCGTCACACTGCGCGGAGCGCGAAGAACTTTGCGCTCTCGCGGGGCCCCCACGGGCCCCCAAGAGGCACCCCAAGAAGCCCCAAGAAGCCCCCGAAGAGGCCCCAAGAGGCCCCAGCACGGCCACCAAGAGGCCTCAAAACGGAGGCCTCAAAACTGTCGCCCAGATGCCCTCGAAAGGCCCCGACACGGCCCCCAAACGGCGAGGTGACATGGGCCAGCGGAGTGAGCGAAGCGATCAAATAGCTTCGCGCTCTCACGCCGCCCCCGAGGGGAGAAGACATGGAGGAGGCATCGAAGCCGCACTGCGAAGCGCGAGGCGCGAGGGGCGAATGGCTGCTTCGCCCTCGCAGGCGCCCTTGGCAGAGGAGCGACGCTCAAAAAACGGGTCGTACGCGAGATGGCGTAGCGTTATGTCGGGCCTGGCCCCCTACAGGGGGATTTTCTACGAAAAATAAAACATACCCCAAAAGTAATCGAAACAGATCGTCCAAAAATGGTCCAGGGACTGTTTTTCTGGTATCTTTGGACCTCTTTGGGGCATTCTTGGGGTATCTTTTATATTCTTCGTCGAAAATCCTGAGGAGGCGACAACCCACCCCCACCCCCAGTCCCGACGCCCACCCCCGAGCCCGCGATCCAGGGTGTCGGGACTGGGGGTGGGGGTGGGTTTTCTCCATTCCTGGACCCCGAAAACCCACCCCCACCCCCAGTCCCGACCCCCTGGATCGCGGGCTTGGGGGTGGGCGTCGGGACTGGGGGTGGGGGTGGGTTGTCGCCTTCTCAAATCCCCCTGTAGGGGGGGCACGCCCGACACATAAGCGCAGCGACCCTGCGCGGTGGCCTGCGCGGGCCGCCCTGGTGGCACGCCGCAGGCGGAGGCGAGGGCGCGCCGGCGCGCGACCCTGCGCGGGCAGCCTGCGCGCCCGTGTGTTTGAAGGGGCCCCAGGACACACAAATAAATACACACAAATAAAATGATTCCCCATATTTTCCCATAGTTTCTGGGTTTTGTGTCTTCCCGCCCAATTCCCATATTTTCCCATATTTTCTTGGGGAATCGAGGATTAATTGTGTCTGTGTGTTTCTTTTCCTCCTGAGTGTTGGGGGGCGGAAAGATACGGATACGTGTTGTCCCCGGACCGCTCTTGGGGTGCGTTCTGACCAGAATTTCGAGGCGAATCCAGCGGTGACAGCGAGGATTCCCCAGGAGGACCAGGAAAGGCCGAAAGCGACGGGGGACAGCACGTATCCGTATCTTTTCCTCCCCCGAGTGTGGACGCGGACGACCCCGCTTGCGCATCGCCCAGTCCCAGAGATCCAACGCATTGAGAAGCACAAGACGAGCTGTTTCGCGAATTCGCCGTGCACCGGGGCCGTCAACAAAAACGACTCGGGTTGGAAGGCCCTGGGGATCGTCAAGAAACGACTCGGGCGCGGCCAAGAGGGGGGGGTCCAAGAGGGGGGGGTGCAAATCATGACCGGCGGCACGTGCGCGGCCCAGCGGGGGGAGGGGGCAGGGGACGTAAGGAAACAAGAAGAGGCGCCATGAAATCTGAGGAAAAATCATGGCCCGCGCCATGAAATCCACCCCCCCTAGTCATCACCCCCCTCTTTTCCGCCCCCGAAAATGTTGAGAAAAACAATTCGCCGTGCACCGGGACCGGCAAAAATACGGCTCGGGATGGAAAACTGGCCCTGGGGAGCGTCTAGGAAAACGACTCGGGACGAAACGCTGGTCCTGGGGAACGGGTCGAGACCTCCAGGGACCCCGTGCTGCAAAAGTCACGGCGTCGGATCTCTGGGATGCTCCTGGGACCCCGCGCCCCCCCTCCGTCCTGCGGACGCTGTCTTGTGCAGCATCGCAGGCAGCACGCGCGCGCCTACCACACGACGAGGCGGCGGCTGCGGGCGGCAGGTGCTCCTCGAGCCGAGAGAGCGCTGCCGCGCGCGCCCCTCGCCGGCCACCCAACGGAGGAGGAGCGGCGGCGCTGCCGCCGCCGCTTCCCTGCAGCCAGCCCGCATGTGGACAACACAGCAAATCTGTGGAACAAAAATGACAACCTGTGGAAAAGCACACACACAAAGGCCTCCTGAATTGGGTCCAAGTAGATGGGGTCGGAAGGTCGCGCCACATCGCCAGTGCATCGCCGATGTATGGGCGATGCATCGGCCATGCATCGGCAGAGTCGGCGACGCATCGGCGACGTCGGCGTGGAGAAAATCGGGCTCCGCATCGCGCCCCATCGGCGATGCATTGGCGATGCGACGAGATCCTCCGAACCCATCTACTCCGACCCCATCTGGGAGGAGAACACAATCTGGTTTTTCCCACAATTTCCACAAGGCGTTTTTCCACAACGTGTGTCTTCTTTCCTCCGTGTTTTTTCCACGGAGGACGCGCGGTAAGGCTGCAAAGGCCCTTGGAAGGCCATGTCGACGCTCTGCGAGCGGGGCGCGGCCAGCGAGAGCGGCCAGGTCGGGAGGCAACTACTACTGAGAGGTCTTCGTCGGATGGATGAAGATGCAGCCCCATTGGTGGGCTGATACGTCGGATTGGGCCGTGGATTGAACGGGATTCAGGCGGATGAACAGGGACTGAGCCGGATTAGCAGGGATCAGAACCAGATTGAGCTGGATTCCGAACCAGGGCAAGGTCAGAGTTCTACCTCCCAGGAGTTGCATCCGAAGCCAGGGACGGGCCGAAGGGGCAGGGGTGCAGGGATGACCTTGGAAAGCCGCTCTCGTCCTCACTGTGCGCGTCGGCTGTATACCTGTCCCCCCCTCTGCCCCCTCCACTCTTCCTGCCCTCCGCTTGGGGGGAGAACGTGGAGTTAGCCATCGCTCGGAAGTACACTCCCCGTGCATATTCCGATCTCGCGCGTGCAGTTTTTGCCCAAATGATCCACGATGCTGCTCGATGGCCCCCGCCGGAAGAAATGCGCACGTCCGAGCGATGCCAAGGGAGGGCGGCGGGCCGAAACGAAGAGATCTTCTGGTCCAGACGCGGCTCGGCCGCGCGGGACCTGGCTCCGAAACCAGAGGCAATGAAGGGGCCCTGGGACACACAAATAAAGACACACAAATAACAGGATTCCTCATATGTTCCCATGTTTTTTGGATTTGTGTCTTCCCCCCACTTCCCATATGTTCCCATATGCTCTGGGGAATCGACGATTCATCGTGTCTGTGCTTTTTTCCCTCCGGACCTGCCTCCGAATCCAGAAGCAGAAGACCGCGGAGGCGCCGGCCAGCGCCTCCTGGGGCCGCCGGCCTCTCTGGTGGCCACCTCTTTCGCCGAAGCTCCACAGGGAAGGGGCGCTGCAGTGCGCGGAGTGGGTTGGGAGGCAACTACTGGGAGGTTGTCGTCGGAAGGGTTAAGGAGGGTTCAGCCCCATTGGGGGGCTGTCGCGCCAGATTGGGCCTCGGATTCAGCGGCACTAAGCCGGATTAAGCGGGATGAAGCCAGATTAAGCGGGATTAAGCCGGATTGCGGACCAGGGCAAAATCAGAATTTGACCTCCCAAGAGTTGCATCCGAAAGTGGGAATTCCAGGCCGTGGCTTTCGGCACCCGATTTCACGACGAAGCCAGGACGAGGATGAAATCGGGTGAAGATACATCGGGAACCTCTCAGATCCGGCGGCTGTGGAAGATGTCTCGGGCGCCGCGGCCTTCTCAGAGCGATCCAGAAGAGTCTGGAGCGTTCCGGAACGCCCTGGAACGGATTTATCCTCGTCCAATCTTCGTTGGTCGCATTTCCTTCCTTACATTTGGAGGCAACTCCTGAGAGGTCTTCGCTGGAACGATGAAGGGCCGTTAGGCCCGATTAGAGGGCCACTTCACCGGACCAGGCCGGAGAAAGCAAGGGATTAAGCCGGAAGAAGCCGAGCTGGATTAAGCGGGATCGAGCTGGATTCAGCGGGATCAAACTGGATCGAGCTGGACTCGCCCAAATTGAGCGGGCGATCTACCGCGAAAAGGCCAGCGCCGTTACAGAATGTAGCCTTTTATGTACTAAAACCATCGCGCGTTTCGCGCGCGCTTAAGCTCTACTTGCCATGGGGCCACACGAAGAGCGCGCCAGAGGGGCCGTGTCGGGTGATCGGGCCCTCGGCTCGGAAGCCCACGCGCTGGCCTCTGAAGCCGCACTGAGGCTTGGTGTTCGCGGCGGCCCTGGGCCATCCTTGAGCATGTTTGCAGTGCGCTGCTGACATCCAGGCTCCATAAGCAACGAGCAGGGACTGAGATGCCAGGACAGAGAAAACTGAATATGCTTCCTTGTCTGGCAGGGTGGCAATAACAAAAAGGGGCATGATCGGCTTCTTCTCGCATGGCCGCCAACACCGAGCGGAGGGCCGAGATATTCTCAGCTGAATCAGATCCTGAATCAGACCACGACATGATGGTCTTGCCAGGAGGAAGACATGTTCTACAAATCCTCCGCAAAACTCTGAGCTGGACCTGAGAAACAGCGCGTGGGCCCAGCGAGGCCACGGGGCAGGGCTCCCAGGACTGGGTGGGCCTCCGAGGCTATCTTGGAGCCACGCTTGTGCGAGTGGAGAACTCCAGAAAAGAGAGCACGTTGGGGTTGCTTTGGGTTTTGACTGACTTGGCCCGCGTTTATGTCCTGTGTGGGCACTCTGGCGGCCTCCTGGGACCTCATTGCACTGGATACCTCTTGGGGCAGCCTGGGGGGCTCCTAGGACCGTCGTGGGGCCCTCTTGCACACCTTGGAGACCCTTCTGGGTGAGCTCGGGGGAAGCTCTACACGTGTTTACATGTATTTGTATTGGTACAGAGTAGTAAGGCTGCGCCACCTCGAAAGCCTGCTCCGACTGCCTTTAGTTCCACTCATGCATTCCTCCTCTGGACCGCTATCACTAAAAAAACCTTGCCTAGGAATCGTATCCGCATGGGCTGACGGGGGTAGACGCAATGATGCGATTCGGAGTCTCTCTGTGGTAGCGGTGACTGCGATTTGGCCATGAAGTAGCTTTGACCGAGCGTCTCAGCCAGTGTAATGCTGTCGAAGCTCGCTACTGCCATAGCTGTCAACAATCCTGCGTCCATTCACGTGACGATTCAGACCCAAGTTCGGAGCCCTTCACATTCAAGATTAGTGATGCCGTGGCCATGGCCATCTCCCTGAGGGACCTATGATACTTGTTGCTGTAGCTGCAGTTGGTTACCCTTGCCCATGGCATTGAGCAGGTCCAGAGGATTCTGTCAAAATACACTGGCGGAGGCTAGCAGTGCAAGCGCGAGGGGGACTGCCAGTGCACTGTGGGCGAAGAATCAAGGACGGGCAAAGACCCAGAGCTCGCGGTCCCCTCCCATGCGTCAGGGGGCCCTCGATTTTGTACTGGGTGCTGGCTGGCCCTCGCTTGCTGCAAGCGGCTCGGCAGCTTCCCGGCGAGGCAGACTTGCGCACGCGCGCGACATGTCTCACACCGCCGAGCTCTCGACCCGCGGCAAGCGGCGTGCCCGAGCCCGGCGCGCGCGAGCGGACCCCGGCGAGACAGGGAGGGAGCCCGCTCGCGGATTCCCAGCGAATTCGGCAGAGGCAAGCGCATAGCGGCACGCTCATGGGACGCACAGAGGCATGCTAACACGATGTCCCCCTTGGAGGCGCGCGTCCGACCCGAACATATCGCATACCCATCGTGTAGTAGATCGTTTTCCGAGCGGTGTGGTCAGAAAGCGCCCGCCACGACGCATACGCTATACGCTTTCTCGGTGCGCGCGTCGCCCCTGGAAGGGCGACGCGCCCATAGTATTAGTATGCTGGGATGACGCCGAGCTCACGCTCACAACACAAGCTCACGCCCACAATTTTTAGCGCAGCTGCTACGCACAACGACGAGGCGGACGGCGGAGCGGAGCAGCGCGCGCACCTTCACCGGCCCTATGAGGCCAGCGCGGTCGGGCTGGGGGAACCAGAAGAGGGTCGCGCTGCAGCATCACCGAACTTCACATGGAATTGTGACCGATGCGAGCCAAAGTCGGAAACATAGCTTGGAGGCGAAGCACTTCGTCCATGGGTCGGAGGCACAGGAACCGGAGTCGTAGACATGAGAGACAGAATCGGAAAAACGACTGTTGGAGTCGGAGTCGGAAAGAAGGGTGCCTGAGTCGGAAAAGTGGCACTTCGTTCCGGAGTTGGAAACATAGGAGGCAAAAAGGGAGAGAGATGGGCACCAGAGTCGGAAAGTGACCATGGGAGCTGGAGTCGCTGAGAAAGGAGCACGAGTCGGAAGGGCAGGTTGGAGACGTGCCACTGTGACACTGAGTTTCAGGGTCGGAGACACAGGAGCGGGGTCGTGGGTAGGAGCCGAAGTCGTGGGGACAAGGGCTGGGGTCGCGCGGGCAGGAGCCAAAGTCGTGGGGACAGGGGCTGGGGTCGTGGGGGCAGGGGCCGGAGTCGTAAAGACGATCGCGAGAGTCGGAAAGATCAGCGCAGAACTCGGAGAAGGGTGCTGGAGTCGTGTGTAGGAGCTGGAGTCGCGGATTGGAATTGGTGGTAAGATCCGCAATCAAAGAGACCACCGCAGAGATCGGAAGAATTGGTGGTCACGGAGAACAAGACGAAACAAACGGATGGGTCGGAAAGAAGGGCGCAAGGGTCGGAGATGGACACGGGTTCCAAAGTCGACTGGGTTGGAGCAAGAGTCGTGGGAGCATGAACAAGAGTCGTAACGATAGGAGCCAGGGTCAGGCCAGGCATGTCCCCCTACAGGCGGATTTGGACGGAAAATCGAAAGGTATCCCACAATAACCCAAAATGTCCAAACAGAATCCAAAGATCGTCCCCAGACTATGTGTTGACTTGTTCTGTTGAATACTCCTCCTGTAGAGGGACAATCGGGAGCGGCCAAGAGGGGGGTGTCCAAGAGGGGGGGGGTGCAAATCATGACCGGCGGCACGTGCGCGGCCCAGCGGGGGGGCCAGGGACGTAATGAAACAAGAAGAGGCGCCATGAAATCTGGGGGAAACACCATGGCCCACGCCATGATATCCACACACACCCCTAGCCATCACCCCCCTCTTTTCCGCCCCCGAACTATGTGTTGACTTGTCCTTCTGAATATTCCTCCTGTAGACGGAGCCTGGCCCGACTGAGAGCCAGGGTCGCAACCGTGCACGGGCGCATGACCACCTTGGCGCCGGTCGAGCAGCGGCGGGGCGCGCCGGAGCACAGCGAGGGCCACCAGGGAGAGGCCTCCTCCCCCTTTTTGTTTCCTCCTCCTCCTCCTCCTCCTCCTCCTTCTTCCTCATTCGTCCCTCCTCCTCCCTCCTCCCTCCTCCCTCCTCCCTCCTCCCTCCTCCCTAGCACAGCGAAACACCAGGGAGGGGGCGCGCGAGGCGCGGGGCGGCGGGGGAGGCCGGGGAGGTGAGGGAGCCACACTCGGGCCACGTAAGCCTGGCCATCGCTCGGACGTCCACTCCCTGTGTTTTTCTTGGTTTCGTGGGTGGCTTTGTCGCCAAATGGTCAAGGATGCTCCTCGATGGTCCTCGCCGAAGGAAAAATGCACACGTCCGAGCGATGCCAAGAGGCACCAGGGAAGGAAGGGGCGCGCGAGGCGCGGGACGGCGGGGGAGGCCGGGGAGGCGAGGGAGCCCCACTCGGGCCACGCAAGTATGCACGTGCGTGCCAGGGCGCACGCACGTGAAGTGCGAGGAGGCAGGAGGGCGGAGCCTTGCGTTGTTCCCTTATGTCGAGGCGGACACATCCCAGAAATAATTTCGCGGGGCAACCCCGCAAGGATGAGGAAACGAACAGCGCCGTCCATCGAATCGAAACAACCAGATGCGACCTTCTTGATAGCAGCCCATCCAGATAGACCGAGGAGACGAGCCATCGCTGGAGCCCTACGAAGCGCGGAAGCCGAGCGGACATTGGGCGAATACCGACCAGGTATGCGTACCGCGGGGGCGTGCACGTCGCAAGGGTGTCGGAGACATAAATCGGCGGCGAGCCCAGGGGGGAAGAAAGAAGGGGCGGGCCTTCTCAAAAAGGCTCGGAAGGCCTCTGGCCTTCTGAGAGGTGTTATGAGCCTTGCCCGAAGACACGGAACGCTTCTCAGAAGGCGCGAGGGCTTCTGAGAAGTCCCGCCGCCTTCTGAAAAGGGCCTTCTCCTTCTCACTTCCCCCCTCGCTCGCCGCCGAGTCGAGGACATCAAGACCACCCACGAGGGGGGGCACAAAGAATAGAGGCCTCCTAGATAGGGTCCGAGTAGCTGGGGTCGAAGGATTGCGCCGCATCGCCACTGCATCGCCGATGCATCGGCGATGCATCGCCCACAGAAGCGTGTGAGGGGTCTGCCTACATGTGGCCACGGAGCGTGCGAGGGGTCTGCCTAAATGTGGCGGGTACCAGGGAGCAGCCCACACAGAGCTTCCATGGCGCCCAGGGGTGCTCCTGGGAGAGGTTCCCAACCAGGGGCCGCCCTGCCGCATTCGCCCTCGAAGGGCAACGAGCGGGGCGGGGTGGTCGGGGGGGCAGAGACAAGTTACCTGGAATCGGCGATGCATCGCCGACAGGTCGGCGAGAGGCCCTCGATCGCGAAACCGCACGTGCCGCGGCGGGATGAGGCACCAGGGCCCCGATTGGCGATGGATGAGCGATCGTGAAGGGGCCCAGGGACACACACACACACATCCATATACACACCAATTCCAAGAAGCCCCAGCTTTTCGCATATATTTTGGATGTTTGTTAATATCCCCCCACTTCTCATATGTTCCGGGAATCGACGATGAGCTGTGTCCGTGTTTTCGTCCCTCCCGAGAAGGGCCCTCGACTGCGAAGCCGCGCGTTCCTCCGGCGAGGTGGAGCACCCGGGCCCCGACCTGGCCATCGCTCAGACGTCCATGTCCTGTGCTTTTGGCGGTCTCGTGCGTGGCTGTTTCGCCAAATGATCGAGGATGCTCCTCGATGGTCCTCGCCGGAAGAGAGATGCACACGTCCGAGCGAGGCCAAGCGATCGGCGATGGATGAGCGATCGGGGGTCGATGCTCCCCCATGGCCAGTGCCTCCCTGTCGTTGCCCCTGAACTTCACTACCTGGAGACCACGGCATCCTCCACACGAGTGCGCCCGCCTTCCGAACGGATTACGCATCCTATGCCCGATCCCCCTAGCCACGTTTAGAAAAGCCATCGATCAGCCGTCATCCTGCCACCGGCCACGTCTCGCGTCGGGGAGCGTGACGAGGTGAGGAGGGAGCACAGAGGCACCATCACGGGCGCAGAGGAGTAGAAGCTGTGGGACATGCGCAAAACGCCGTTGGCAGGTGCGGCCGCGGTGCCCTATGAAGAGCCAGAGATGGCTCGCCGCTCATGCTCCGGCCGCTGCGGCTACCGCCAGCCTGGCTGATTCGGGTAAGCCCCTGGCACGGCTAAGGGGACATGTCGTGTCAGAAGTGTCCTTCACATCTGCGTCGCACTCGCCCTTGGCCGGCTGGAACCTCCTCACCTCCTTGAGGATGAACCCCCTAGCAGTGGGCGCACACGCAAGAGAAATTTCCCAGAACCGAGGCACAACAAATTGCCCGCAAAGCCGCAGAAAGCAAGCGCCCGTGCCAACTCAATGCAAGCCAGTGCCAACCCATAACAGATGGCGAGCGCAAAAAAGCCAATTCTCTAGATCCCAGACCTCATGATGTGCAAACGGGCTCCAGTTGGCAGGTCAACCATGTCTCCATAGACAATGCCTGCGGTACCATGGCAGAGAAACAGTGATCATGTCGGCTTCACGCAAGAGTGACCATATGCAAGGGTGACCCTTGCTGCGCGGACCAAAGGAGCGCGCGGTGGCCAAGTCCAGACGAACAATCAGCTGCTATCGCGTCGAGCTCAGCGGCTGGGGGGAGCCCCGATGAGGCCGCACCCAAGGCCACCAGGCCGAAAAATCACTATTACGTGTACCCATCGGTCGGAAGAAGTAGGTAGGATCATGAAGAAGAAAATCGCTGAAAGTAGATTGGGCTTCCGCCCGCCCCCTGAAGAGGAGGGAAAAGGCGAAGCCACTCGATCCTTGAAGTAGGAAGGCGCTTAAAGTAGATTGGAATCTGGGAATCCAAAAATACTTACTTCAACGACGAATGGGTAATCGAGGACGAGGATTGGGCGCGTACAGCGCGACCGGTTCGCATAGGGGTGCGCGATCAGGACGCAAGGACCTGGGACACCCAAGTGGAAGCCGCTTTTTGAGTCCGGGCGGGCCGGAGGCACGGGGATGCGAGGATGCCACTGGAAGGCTACTAATCCTTCTGACATGTTCGGCTGTCTGTCTGCATACCAAGAGATCCGACGCTGTGATTGTTTTCAATACGGGGTCCGCGGAAGGGTCGACCTATTCGCCAAGACCCGTTTTTCGAGTCATTTCTCACTTATCAGTCCCAGGGCCCCGTGAGGGGGCCCGACAGGCTGAAAATCGTGAAAAATCGTTTGTCTTGATTTTTCCAATACGTTGTATCTCTCGGTGGCACGGGGACTCTTTCGCAAGCAGCGCTGGAATGGGCGATAGGGGCCGTTCGCTGGGGTTGGGTGGCCAGGCAGTCTGCTGCGTGGGCCCACGCCTGAGGCGCTCGATGCTGTCTGGCTCGTGGTCGAACTTGATGTGCAGGATTCCTGGAGTCACAATCTCCTGAGGGTCAAGGGCAACTCACTAGGAATTGAGGAGGCAACGGATACGAGATGAGAGAGAGGTAGAAAGAGAGGAAATCTGAGAGAGAGAGAGAACAAACACAACAACAGAGAGAGAGAAACAGGAATTCAACATGTACGAAAAGCGTGGGGAGAAAGAGAGAGAGAGAGACAGTGCGAGAGACCACTGCATATGGATATACATACATATCGAGAGATGAAAACGAAAGAGAGAGAGAGAGAGAGAGAAACAACGCTATAGAGAGACGAAGAGCGACATAGCAACTAGGCAGCGAGAACTATAGTAACATGCTATATGAACACATACGCCTAGTGTATACCTACTTGGCTCCAACAAAAGTTTCCTTGGAAACTCGCAAGAGGAATGATATGTATGTAAACCCGTCGGCAAGATGAAAAGTCGCGCGCGCGTGCTCAGCGTTCGCACGCACGCGATCCCAAGACGTCCCATGGCCACAACATGCTTCCAGGAATGCTTCAGGCCACGGACGATAACGTCCAGAGGACCCAGGATGATGCCACCCCAATGCGATCCCGCCATGGATTCTGGACCGTCTCAGGCCGACTCGCAGATGACGAAACACATGAGCAACGCGTGACGCCGAGATGGCCCGATGGCAACAAGATGGATCCAAGCGCACCCAGGGTGGCCTCAGAATGACCACGCGATGGTTGCGTGATCCAAACATGACCGGGATATGATCTCAAGATGACCTCAAGACGACCCCAACACGGCAGTAATACTGCAACTTATGAGCCCCATCTTACTTCGAGCCGATCCCAGCATGGTGGGATCCGTGAACGGCCCGGGATTTTGGTCTACCCCATTTTTAATGGGTGGGATTTGGACCGTCCTGAACTAAATTTGTAATATGAAAGCGGAATAAGCCAGGCGGGATCCCGCCCGGCCCACGGAGGAAGACAACATTGCTAGGCTTCTACGGGGGTAGGGGGTTCGGAAAGGGCGTCGTTTACTTCCGCTGACATTGGCAAGCCTTCCGGCGGCCTTCCCCCGTCTTCCGCCTCGCTTTACTTCCGTCGACTTCCGCCGGCCAGCGTCGTGATGAAAATTCCAGGAACTTTCATTGGGCCGATGTATGTATGAGTGTCAGGAGATAGAGAGAGAGAGGGAGGAACCAAACACATAGACCAAAACTATCAGGAAGGGTGGAAAAGGGGAGGACACGAGGAAAAGACCATGGACGGGGCTGGGGAAGACCTCGAGGTCTGGTCCGGTCAGCAGGGCTTTTCTCGGTCCAGCTACTGGGTGACCCACGTGCAGGCGGACTTGGGCAAGTGAGCCTCTCTGCTTGCTGTCTCCCCTCCTCCTGCCCTGTTGACCCCCCCCCCGCCTCCCGCCTCTCCTCCCCTTTCCTTGCCCCTCAAGCAACTTGGGCTCAGGCCACTTTGGCAGCAGCCCAGACCCTGCACCTCCCAGTGGTGCTTTAAGGGATTGCCCCTCCAGCTGCTTGCCACAGCTGGGAGGCCGATCAGGTCAGGACCAGTTCTAGCAGCAGGGTTTCGCATCAGCGCAACAGCAGCAGGGTGCGGGCATCATCAAGGCCATGGAGACGACGCATTCACTGCAAAACGTGCGAGCACGATGACAGGCTCATCCAGACGGATCGCCAATGTCGGCGGCGAGCGAGGGGGGAAGCGAGAAGGAGACGGCCTGTCCAGAAGGCGGCGGGACTTCTCGCAAACCCTCGCGCCGCCTTCAGAGACAAAATTCCTGTGCTTTCCGGGGAAGGCTTCGAACACTTCTCGGAAGGCCAGGGGACTTCTGAGCCGTCTGAGAAGGCCTGCCCCTTCTCACTTTGAGCATCGCTTAACCGATCCCCATCCCCACCAGCGTGGGCTGGGCCCCACTGGCCGATCTACCCCCCCGATGGGGATACAGGCTGCTCCCTTCTGGTTTCGAGGGGCATCAGCCGGTGGGGCTCGAGATGTGGATGGGGATGGAGATGGGGATCGCTTGATCGATACTGACACTTCGCCCCCTCGCTCGCCGCCGACCATGCCCGAACTGCACCAAGACGATGCGCCTCAACCAACCGACGTCCCCCGACAAGACCCGCCACCTCTGCCGTGGACGGCGGCGAGCCGAGGGCAAGATCCAGCCGCTGCTCCTCCTCCTCCTCCTCCTCCTCCTCCTTCTCCTCCTCCTCCTCCTCCTCCTCCTCCTCCGCCTCCTCCTCAACCCCCCTCCTTCTCCTCCTCCTCTTC